CTATTTATAAACATTGATTATAGCGACAAGATGACTTATGACAACAAACATTACTTTTTACAGCAAACCCCAAAATTGATTTTCTTTGTCTTAGATATACTATAGATTTACGCCACAGATGTAGAACAAAGTTGTAAAAGATAGGAATATGATTTGGTCTTAAAAAATAATTGGTTTCGTATATAGAAGCAAAACTGTGTAACATTTCAGCTGTCAGAATTTTTTTCAGGGACGTTCAGTTAAACAATATCGCTCTACATATTAATAGAAGAACAGGTTAGGAAAAATTCTTTTTATTCTTTATTTTTTAATACGATATTATATAAATTGTTGCTTGATAAAAGAATGTGACGTTATGAAAGTTATGTTCATCGCGGCTGAAAATTTCTGATGGCACTGCACTAAATTAGCATTGTTGTTTGAATCCATGAGACTCATCAAGATTTCATGTATTACACTCGTAGATGTTCACATTCTTTGCAAATTCATGCACATTGGCAATGTTTCTAAAAATAAGCCGTTGCCACTAGGCCAGTGTGAATATTTCTGCGTTATGATTAAGGAATTTTGACAAATGTAGTTTTGAAAACAAGACTATTTTTTTGTAGTTTAAGCTAATTTTACGAAGTTTGTCATGATAAATTAAATGAGTAAACATTAGAAAAAAAATACGATTGCGACGAAGCAACCTACTTCGTTGTGATTTATTCTCTAATGAATGAAAAAAGAAAAGACGAAGAACACGGAAGGAGAGAAAAAAGAGAAAAGAAAACAGGAAAAGGCCAGAGAGAAATAGAAGAGGAGAGAAGAATACAACAAAGCAGACAAATATTTATCATCTTTCAGTGCATAGTTTTGGTCAAGAATATGTTAGAAAAATTGAGTAATGATAGTGATTAACATCGTCACAGTGATTCCTCTTTACACTATTGTATAAACTAAAATTTAGAACGCATCAAGTTAAATTTAAAGACTAAGCATTTGAAAATCTCTATTTAATCCACGGCATATGATAATTAAAATGAAAATGGTATCGAGATTTGCTGACTTTGACGAAAAACAACTGAAACTTGCAGAAAACCACTTAAAGAATCACGTCGTTGTATGGTGTGGTGATGATGCAAATATAGATGATTTATCAAAGCAACGAAAAAACCATGATAAACACAAAATATTTTCTGCCGTGCAAAAATCAGAAAAAGATAACCATAAAGTTACTAATGTGGAAGAATGTATTCAACTACTCCGTAAAATCTCCGATCAAAAAGTTTTTTTGATTATATTACATAATATACCATTAACTGAGGAAGAAAACAAGAAACTATGCTCCTTTATAAATGTTGAGTATATTTATTATTTTGGATCTGATAATCATTGGAAAAAATCAATAGGGAATGTATCCAATAATCTTAGTCAATTATCACAAGACGAATCATATATCAACGTTTTACCATCGAATGTGAATGAAGTTGGTATGGAAAACCTCGATGCTGAAACACAAAGATTTGTTATTCAGCAATTACTTATCGAAAACTTGGAATATCTCTCATATACATGTCAAGAGAGAGAAGATTTTCTTAAATTCTGCCGAAAAACTTATCTGAATGACAAAGTGCGTGTAGAGCAAATCCAAAAATTTGACAAAGAATATAAGTCCGAAAATTCTATATGATGGTACACAAATAATATCTTTGCCTTTCGAATTGTGAACAAGGTATTACGTACATATGATATAAGTTCTTTATTAAAAATTCGTTTTTATCTTCGTAATCTTTACACGGAATTGAAAAATCTTTATAAATCACAACTATCTACGCTGATGAAACATAAATTAAAATTACGTCGAGGTAGAATGATTTCACGAGAAGAATTAGAAAATTTTCAAAAAAGTAAAGAAAGATTTGTTGTCACGAATTCTTTTGTCTCAACCACAACGGAAGAAATAGTGGCTCTTTCTTTTGTTGGTGGCGGTAGTTCGGAAGCAACAGACAAAGTTTCAGTTATATTTCATATACAAATTGACATAGAGAAGAACGATTCGAAACCAGTTGCCTTTATCAGAGAACGTTCTCAACATCCGGATGAAGAAGAAGTGTTATTGTCCATGGGTATTGTTTTGAGCATAGGTTCGATCGAATCAATTGGAGTGAGTGCAGAAATTGATTTTCGATAAATTTTCACTAGATGTGTTATAATTAAGGAAAATTGTTGGCAAATTAATTTGATAAGAGGTGCAAAAGAAGAAGACTTTGAAAAGATATTTTATGAACACTTTTGGATACAATCTGAATCGGTCAATCAGTCTCTTGCAATCACATCATTTTTGAAGAGCATAAACGATGGACAATATGTTACAGAATATAAGACACTGATAACCAATGAAGATCCAAGAAATTCATGTTCATTTCAACTGGTAAGATATTTTTAGAAGACTCAGAATGATTACATTGATTGTTCTATAAATATATGACAGCTACAGCGATATAAGATGAATATATGACTTAAACTAAGTTTGAAATGATATCTACTTGTTTTGTAGCAACACTCTCTAACATATAAGAAAGACTTTAATTATTATATTGGATTGGAATATACGTTCTACACGGTGTTTTTTGTTTTTTAGGCAAATTCGAGGCTTTATATCTCCTGACTGTAAAGGGAAAAAGATCTGAAATTTTTTGCATAGATAGACTTCTGTGAGTTATATCTATGCTAAAAATTTCAGATCTTTGTTCCTTTACAGTCAGGAGATATATAGCCTCGAATTTGTCTAAAAAACAAAAAAGAACGTGCAGAACTAATGTTCCAATCTAATACAAAGAATAGTTTCTGATACAAAAATCTCATTCAACTGATATGTTACCTTAATTTTTATGCTATACATATATCTAACCAGACATGAAAGAATAAAAAAGAGAGGAGAAAACCAGTTTGATATTCCTTCATAATGAAAACAAGTGTTGATATTTAATAGCTTGATATGACAAATTGATCTATTTCTATCTAAACCGACCTTATTACTATTTTCATAGAAAATTTTAAACAAAGAACTAATCTTTTTGAGGAATATGCTGCAGTTATTGTTTTAACTTAAATTGCTTCAAACAACGAACTTGAGTATATACTCCATTGCTAACGTTATGTCTAAATAAAGCTGTTATTTCCCACCTATCTTATACTTTGTGTATTAGGAAGCGGAACCTAACCAACACGCACCTTTGCAACAATGGAGAGTATTTCAAGAATATTTCAATCAACATCGATTATATATTATTATTTTATCCTGCTTAATTCTCGCCATAGTAGTTTTAAGCATTGTTTTACCTGTCATTCTTAAAAAACAACAATCAACACATGATATATTACATATAACATCAACCATAACGATTCTAACGAGTTACGTAAGCAAGTTAAATGAAATTATTCCTGCATCAACAGCAAATCTAACTGTAACAACAACAATATCAGCTCGGGCACCTTGACCATTTCCTCACTAAACATATCTAATGTATCCATCTTGAGGGTGTGGGTGTGGGTGTGGGTGTGGGTGTGGGTGCGGTTGTGGGCGTGGGTGTTATTCTTTTCTTACAGATTCACAAACCCACATCCACACCCTACCTCTGCTCTGGCAGCAATGATCCGTTAGTATTTGGCACACTAATAGGTATACTCAGGATCGAGTGCCGAAAAGATCATGTTCTATTCGCATAATGCTATTGTAAATTCGATTTTGCGGCTTCTTCCTCCCAGATGTTCTCCTGATGGAATGAGCTTGAGCAAGTGGGGCACTCATATATATATAGGCGAGAGATAGTCTGAAAAAAAGTCAAAAAATGCGATTTTTTGATCAAATCGAGATTGGGTGGGTGGGTGTAGGTGTCGTTATTTTTGAATTGACTAAGCTCCTACATTCACACACACACCTACACCCACACGCACATCCCGCACCCTTCTGCGCAAAAAAAGTACACTGCTTTACTCAGAATTTGATGCTGATTCAAAATAAATAATTCATATTGAAAAATATTTTGGGCAGAAAATGACCTTATCGAGACTTGTTCCTTGTGTTCGAACACGAGAACAATCGAATATGCTTTAACAGGTTTGATTGAAATTCATGAATGCTCTCGAAGACAATAGTTAACAAACCTTGAAGTTTAATATTTTTTTCTTTCTATGTAATGTTTGCTTTAATGCAAATGACTTTTTTTGGTCGTATGGCAGAAAAGAAATAAATTCATTTTACATCTAAAAATAAATTATTCGTTACAAAGAAAGGTATCACTGAGTATTATTTCAAATAAAACATTGCATTGCCAGTATTTTAGAGTTATTCGTACGAAGAAATATGGCTGAATCAAATGCTGAACACAATTTGACAGAAGATTTTGTCGAAAAATGCCGAACTTATGTTGAGCATCGGTATCCAATTATTATCCTTGACGATAACAAAAATCAAAGAGAAATATACGAACAAATGTTTGTTGAATATAATCGTATTAGCAAACGGCCTTTATATGTATTTGACAATGCAAATGAATGCTGTGATTTTGTTACAAACGATTTATGTTGTAATAAATACAGCAAGACCATTGTCTTTGCGCGAGATCATTTAATTTATAATATTATTCAGGATATTGTTGATTCTGATCAAATCGAAGAAATTATTATCATCAACGATAATCCACCAAGTCAAGAAGAAAGAGAATCAATGAAAAACTATTCCAAAGTAGGTGAATGAATCAAATTTGTTTTTTCTTTGAGTACTCACCTTTTGGCATTTGATATTAGTTGCATTTTTCATCTAAACTTTGACAGGAAAGCTTATATCGGTAATAACGGGTGGGCCATAAATAATTGCCCTCTAAGTATTTTTAATATTTGTCCTCCTTAATCAATATGATGAAAACATCTTTTATTATCATAAGATGGCGCTTGAAATTCTCTATCAGAATATATATGATTGGATTTGAAAATTATTTCGAACACTTCGAAAACAGATGAAAAGTAAAGACCTCCAAAAAACTGTAAAAAATAAATATGAAAACGACGATGAACCGACGAAAATTTTCCGCGATTTAGGCGGAGTTGTTTCATTAAGAACAATCAAATTATGGGTTCAAATGCTCAGCGAAACAGGGTCTATCGATCTGTCTCATCCGCCAGGTCGTCCACGCACAGTGCGAACGAAAGCAAACATCTCAAAAGTAAAATACCGTCTTGTTCGGAGAAAAAGGTGTCAACAAGACGGTTAGCTGCTGAGATGAACATTTCAAGGATCAGCGTTCGGCGAATTCTGCGTGAGGATCTTGGTTGTTTTCCATATAAGAAAATAAAACAACCAAAACTTACTGATCTTCAAAAAAGAAGAGGGTTAAATTCGCAAACTACGTTTTAAATCATTATAGCAAAGAAGACACCAAAAGATGGCTTTATTCCGGTGAAAAATATTTTGATTTAGATGGTGTCTATAATGTTCAAAACGATCGTGTATGGGCGGTCAGTAGAGCAGAAGCATATAGACAAGGTGGTATACACCAGAAAACAAAATTTCCAACAAAAGTGATGGCGTGGTTAGGTGTATGTGCAGAAGGTCTCACAGAATCGATGATCATAGAGGATGAAACGATGGATGCCGAAAGATATATCAATGATGTTCTTCCCATCGCTCTAAAATCTGGTGACCGAATGCTGGGAGACAATTGGACTTACCAGCAAGATGGGGCTAAACCCCATATCTATTGGCTGGCTCAAAAATGGTGTACTGACAATTTTCCTTCATTTATATCGAAGAAACTCTGGCCGCCTAACTCACCTGATTTATGTCCACTAGATTATAGTTTATGGAATGAACTAGCCGAATCTATGGACTGGACTAAGATAACAACAAAAACAACAATGATAAAGGAAATAAAAAGTTCCGTAAAAAAGAAAAATGTTTACATTCTGTACTTGATTTTACTGTAAGATTACGTCAAATCCAAAAAACTGGAGGAGACTATATTCGTTAAATAAAATACATCATATTGTGCAAAATTTCAAGCGCTTCTTTTTGATAAAAAGAAATTTTTCATTAATAAATTGCTCAAGCGAAAAATCTTTGAAATACTAAGAGGGCAATTATTTATGGCTCACCCGTTAGATGAAAAATTTCATATCATCAGTGATGTGAGCTCGTTTATTATATATCTATAATTAAACAAAGGGGTATGATGCCTGCTACGGAGCTTAAAGACAGATATAAGAATAATAATAAGAACTTTTGGCCGCATTCAATAGTAGATAGGAGAAAGTAGGTTCATGCAGTATTAATAGGATATGTGGAATCTCACACTCACAAGACTGATGTGAACGTACTGTTCAAATAGAACGATGTGAATGGATATGAGCATGCCGATTTTCTCTGTGTCAACATATTCTACTAATACCAATTCATACATAATGATACATACTGTTGGTTCGAGGTTTCTCACAAAATCTTTTCGTCAAACCTTTGAAAATTGGGTCTTATTCATAAGTTTCCATTCCTAGAAGAGAGAAAGACTAAGGATAGCTTTTCTCACTTTAAAACAATATAACACAGATTCGACCAAAATGTTCAGATTTAACAAAATGTTACAGAAGCTGAGAAAGTTGAATAAAATAAGGAATATCACTATGAATGCACCGATGTGCTTTTACTGAGTACTAGACATGAGAAAAGTGATTACTGTTATTTCGATTAATAATAAGAAATTCGAATTCCATGTGACCCAAACTATACTTCGTAATGCACAGAAGCTTATCATGAAGCATTTTGTTGAAAATTTTCTTTTTTATTTGACATTCAGCAATGCCTTCCTTCGAAATCTTATTCTAAAAATTCTCTGAAATTAGTAATAGACAGTTTACCAGGAAAGAATAAATAAAAGATAACAGATTCATAGCATACGAAATCAGTCTATGATATTCCATTACATAACTAGATATTTTGCGAAGAAGACTTGTTAATAATTCTCGCAATATATAGCAAGAAGTTAGAGAACTATTTTCTTTTGAATGTTACGATCTGCATGCTTACAAAAAGTTTTCGACTCATTGCATTATATTCCAATTCACGATCTATGATTAACATTGTGTAAGTTATTCATATACTACTATTAAGCTGAGTTTTATCCTATCCACTGGAATGTCTGCATTGTTGAGTAGGCATAGGTTTTCGTTGTTCTCGTTTTCGTAATTGGACCACAATAGACTCCATTTATTTGAATCATACATGTAGTCGGATATTATTCGAGAAACGACAAAACACTAGTTGGTCAGAATGCACACAACACTTTTGTATTCAGTTTTTGATATCATTTAATTTGAATATATTTATTATTTCTACAATTAATACTATATACATGAGAAGAAATAAAAAAATGAGTGTAATATATGATCTGGACTTTCTCATACAGGAATCATTCACATCGTTTTTAGTCCGTTGAAATAAGATAGTATTAAATATTATTTCAAAATGTCCACTAGAATCTTTGAAACGAAAGGTACTTTTATTAAGAACTTATTGTAATTGATTTTATATTTGGAGAAATTCAATTCATTCCTACCCTTTTACTTTTTAACCTCAGTTATTTTTTAACATTTTGCACAAATCAAAGATAATTACTTTCATTCTTAGTGCCTAAAAGAGATTAGTCAGCATTTCAGTATTCTTACTTATCCAAAATACCTGATGTTCGTTTGTATCGGTTTGTGGTACGCGAACTAGTGAGAGAAAGCATAGGAAGAAAAGCCAATCGAAAATGAATCCATAATTATTAATGCACTTTGGTGAACTTTACTTTTAAGAGCTAGTCTTTGTAATAAATAAAAACAAATATTAATATCGACTATTTATGCTATTAATTTCTTCTAAAAAACTATGAATTTCATTTTTGTGATATCTAACGTTGCATATAATTCTTACGTGTTTTGTGCTGAGTAAATGCTGAAGCGTAGCACTCTCAACTGCATAAAACTCATTTTATTCAAAAACTAAAAATGCAGTTTGCAAGAGAATTTATTTTTAAGTATTTCGATAGTATTTTTATCTTCTGACTCTCATAAAATCAGATAGTGTATATTCAAGATTGATATAATGATTCCTTGATATATGCTCACAGACTATTGATATTGTCTGAATATTCTACTCATGTTTTAGGTACGCTATATGAATGACCAAGAATTGACATCATCTGACAATCAAACATTAGATCGAGAAATCCTTCAAGAAGAACGATTTAATGAGCCGATTACAACCGCTTCGGCATATGCAAATGACTCACAGAAAAATATGAATTTATATGTTGAAATAAATGAACGTTCATCTGAATGTTTTTTTAGTACGAACACATTACTTCACTATTTCACACTAAAATGTCTTATGGATAATCAGTCAACGCCATCGGACTATGATAATCTTATTGAATTATTTCGAATAAAATTTTCTGTTCCAGAAACAACGATTGACCAATTCAAAAAGACCTATGCACCCGATCAAGCAATACAATTTTATACGAAACATGGATTTATATATCAACCATTAAACAAAGCATTGCGTTCAACAAATATCAATCATCTTGTACGATTTCGATTTGTACTTAAAGATATATATGATCAGTTAGGTGATCTTATGGCTCTTGAACTGAATGCGCAAACAAGAGAAGTTTATCGAGGTCAACAGATGCATTTCTCTGAAATAATGGATCTATTTAACAGTTTCAAACAAAATGCACCGATTATTGTTAATAGTTTCTTTTCAACATCGCTTGATAGGCATATGGCTGCTGCATTTCTTATTGCTGGATGTGACAAAGAACATAGTATGACTCATGTTCCCGTACTTTTCACGATTAACATTCGAAAACAAGACGCATCATCGGATTGCCCATTTGCTGACATATCGAAATTGAGTAACTTTGATGAGGAAGCAGAAATATTATTTTCACCAGGTCAAATGTTTATGATCGAGAAATTACAAACGATACATGAGCATGATACAATTATCTATTCAATTGAAATGAGACTTCACAATGAAACTAAATTCAATCTTAATGATCATTACAATCGACTGAAATCTCGATGGGAAGAAGAAACCCATGATTCATTGATGCATCTCGCTAAACTACTTATGAATTGGAAGCGATACGATGAAGTAAAAGAATTATATGAACAAGTGCTACATCAGAAGCCTGATAAGCAAATACAAATTGTTTGCTACCAAGGTTTAGCTCAAATAGCTTCATTCACGAATAATAGTGATGAAGCGATGATCTATCAACAGAAAGTTATAGATTTAAAGTTTGGTAATGATCATTCTTCACTGATGCCAGACGGTATTCTAGTCTCGAATGAATTTATTCAAAATTGTTCTATATTTTACGATAAATGTCAAAATGCTACTACACGATCATCTCTTTGTCAACCTCTTAACCAAGTTAGCAACTATTTACAAAGCAATGGATGGAATGAAGTTTTGCATCAAACTCCACAAATGACACTCATGATTGCTCAGACATTAATGAGCAATCAACAATATCAATTGGCAATCTTGTTTCTCGAACCAACTTTATTTATCATTAGATGGACGGACGATACCGAATTCGATCCATTGCACAAATTGAAATGCTATGAAGCCTTGGGTTATTGCTATCATCACTTAGGTATGAATCAGAAATCTCTAGAATATTACATGTCGGTATTAGACGAAAATATTCATTTATCTCCTCAACTCCATGTTAAAATATTATCTGACGTCGGTCAAGTACTCGAAGAGATGAATCAATGGGAAGAAGCTTTACAAAAATATATCAAAGCGGCTGAAATCTATCAGACTGATTTACCAAATGCAGATCCAGAGGATGTTGCTCATGTCGAGAAACGCATTGAACGAGTTACATCGCACCTTATTCCACCCGATTAATAATCTAGGAGAAATAAACTCTTCGAAGATTTTCAGTGTGTCTTTCCATTAGTTAACTGTGTTCACATCATTCAATTTTTCTATTTAACCAAGCGAGTTTTGTGCACAATAGCATACAATCAATGTTTTATATCATTGTATACGATATTTAAATTTATTAAATATCTTTCATATTCGAATCGGTAAACTATTGAGAATAAATCTTTATTCTACAACAGAGTCTTGTAAAAAAATCTTCGGATAAAAGACGAAATAGATTGATGATATACTCATTGAAAAAAATCACAATAGTTTTTATTGACGTTAGGTTTAGTGTTTCACGCAACCAAAAATAGGCATGATCAGTGCTAGAATCGACCCAGCCGGATTGGCTTAGAAAATCAACCGGGCTCGTAAATACTGGATATATGCCAGTTCAAATTCGAAAAATCTTATGCTTACCTCTATTTCATTTTCAAAAAAAAATATGTATTTTACTCTCAAGGAGAACGAATACTCCACCACCCATGTAAAAAAAATTAGAAGGAATCGATTATATGTAAAAATTTTATCAAAATCAATTAGACTCTAGTTGCTGTCAGTTCTTTACATGAATGCTTTTCAATCAATTTCCCTCTATTATTGCTTCTTAATGCATTTTAATCTATCTTAACCTGTTTTCCAATTTTAACCGAGCGTTACTTGTTATTTGATTTTAATGAGGTTTA